CCAGAGCTGACTCATAGGGCCCCTCGCTGTCGGAGTCTGGTGGCAGCTCCAACAGCTCCTGCTGGGCCACAACACCTAGCTATAGAAGGAGAACCATCACACTGGTACCTGTGTTTCTCCAAAAATAACAGGATCTTATTTTCTTTTGACCCCCAAAATAAGCCCTTGGGCTTATTTATGGGGAGGTCTTATTATTTTTGAGGTGCAGGAGGTGGCGAGTGTGGTCACCTCATGGCTGATGCTCTATTGCAATATTTTTAGGGAGGGCTTATTTTCAGGGGAGGGCTTATTTTAGAGCAAGCACTCAATTGGGCTTATTATCCAGGGAGGTCTTATTTTCAGGGAAACAAAGTATACTTTAAAGTTTGATCATTTAGGTCAAGTAGAATTATTGACATAGTAAGAAATGTTATCTGGAATTGTACTTCTGATTTTTGTTTAGTCTCTATATAATAACTAAACAATGAACCTAATAAAAGGACCAACATCAAATAAATGCATTGACCATTTTGGAATTGGACTGGGATTTATTTTTCTAGAACTGCAGAGTAGGCTTCATTTTTATTTTTGATGCTTTCATGGACATGATGAGAATATTATAAATGAACTAGGAACACATTCATAGTTACAAGACATGATTCCCTCTTTGATCTCCTGTGTCCACTTTTGTGAAACATGTTTATAAGGGAAGTGACAAGAAGAACACAATAATATTCCTAGGGACATGAGCTAGTCTCATCTTTAAATGAACAGTAAATTATAATGACTATATTTTCCTACTGCCCTGAATGTCCTAGAGAAAATGAAGGACCTGGAATTAATGAACAATCCAACTGTAACAAGTAATATAAACTCATAGTTCATTTAACAGTAGGAAAGACAGTAGGAACTTGGTGAAATTAATCACCTGAAGTTTAAATTTTAGGTCACCTGGAAGAAACTAGCAGGATTGAGAGGCAGAGGATACACATACTGGACTCAAGAAGCCCAACCTTCAGAAGAGTAAATCACAACAATTTCAAGATATAGGAGTTTAGCCGATTCATTAATGTGAGAAGAGACAATAGCTGTCATCCAGTCCTTGGACTCGATTTCAATGTGTCAAGTAAGGACTGATAGGAACCGGAGGACAAAGACATCAGAAATGG